CCCACCATCAGACGACTCCAATAGTGGTTGACTCACGATAGAAGACGAGATGGAAAAACGAACAGCCAAATTCAATTTCTAAATTTCAGGGCATTAATTTGTGAATTAGATAAGATTCAAGGACTTGCTTGCAATTTAAAAAATTATAATATACGTCAATTTAGTCCACAGGCTAAATCTGTAATTTATAAAGTATATATAAAATATTATTTTTATTTGCTTTTTATGCATATATTTTTATGTATTTTCAACCAAAACAATTTAAAGTATTAAATAAATATATTAACATACTTAATATGTTATATAATATAAATAAGAAATTAATTCGACTATTTAGTTTAATTTAGTTAACCAACATAATAATTCAATCCTTCGATTTTAGTTTATTGCAAAAAAAAAAAAAAAGCTCGCATTGGTAATGCCCAATTGCTAGTAAACAAGATGCACATTAGTGACTGTCATACTGCACAATAGTGTTATACTAATTGCACATTGATGATTATTAGATTGCACAATAGCGACCAAAACCGAAGAACTAAATTATTTGTCCGAAATTTTATAGGTATGTTCGGTTATCTTTTTTACTTTTAAGATTTTGGTTCAATGTCGGCTTGATTTTTTTAAAATAACCAATCCGACTGAACTATATAAAAAAATATAATTTTTTATACTCTTACATAAAAATAATATTTCTTTTCAGCCAAGAAAAGATATATGAAATGTTAATAAAAATATTAAAATACTAACTGTGTTGTTATTGATGGGATTAGTGAAGATCTTGTTATGTACAGTTTATGAATCCAACAATCCACAATAAACCTATACGCAAAAGAATCTAGAGGTTTAAAGTTAAATACTTATGGCTTGAAATTTGCAGACTCTGAGACATTGTAGATTTCTGTTGAAGGAGATCAGTTGATTTTCCACTTGTCGAAAATCTCCTCGTTCGGACGTCTCGGGGTCCCTAGGAAACGTTACGCAGTTGCAGCGGGTCTCGCGTGAATGTAATTCAAGTAATTATTATTGGAGCGTAGAATATAATTTCGAGGATGATAAGGGAGTTCAATAATGTTTACGTTAGTGGACCGAAAAATTATTTAAGTAATTGGCATGACTGGGCTTGGCTTACAGTTAAGCCCAATACTTAAGGAGCCTAAATTATCACCTCCTTAAGATCCCTATTGTAGCTCTCTACAACGACTCAGAGCCTGCAAATTTAAGCCGTAAGTTTGCAACGCTAAACCTCTAGATCTGTTGTGTGTAGGTTTAATGTTGCTATTGAATTCGTAACTTATACATAACGAGATCTTCATCGATCCTAACAAGTGGTATCAGAGCACTTGGTTAATTCATTTTGTATAAAGTTTGAATTTTACGGCTTAATGTGACGACCTGTGTTCAAACGCAACCATAAATATTGGATTATATTCGCGTAACTCGGTGCAAACATTATTTTAATCCACTATTATGGTTGAATATGTGTTTGATGAATGTTGTTGAATGTTGATAAATAGTTGTTAAAACATCGGACATGATGAAGAGTTTTGATGGGTTTTATTTTTTGCAATAAGAGTTTTGATGGTTGAATGTTTATAATAATTATTCGCCCGGTGTACACCAGATAAATTTAATTATTTATTTTGACGAACGTGTAAATACATCTGTGGGTAAAGGACCGAATTATGTAATTTTGTAAATTATAATGTTTCGTGTTACGATTGTGTTTTGATGACCGGGAGATCACCATGACCATGGACCTGGACTCCCGAAGTAGGTCGGACCATCGCCACGGCGGCGATCAGACGAGTACATTCATGACGAGCGCGGCGGCTTACCGCCAGGTTCTCGGAGGCGCGATGCACGGCGACCGAAGATCGCGGGCTGAAGGCGATGGCCTTTGAGCCCCAATGGAAGGCTTCGGACGCAGTGGCGTAGCGCGCGGTGGTCAGGTGCCGCAAGGAGTTTGGCAGGCTCGACGTCATCGGCACAGGGTGGCGAAACGGGTGACTGGAGGTGGCATATGTCGCTGGGTGAAGCGCACGACTAGCCACGCAAATTTAGCAGCATCGGCATGCGCCGAATAATCCCGCGTGACGGCAGAAGCAGCAGGATATCCGAGCGATGACTGTGGGCGACAAAATTTTTTCGGTGAGATTCCACGGCGGCGATGATCGACGACCGACAACGACCCCCCCGGAAAGCTATGGAGACTTCTTGTTGGACAAGTTGGAGATTTGATAGGATTCTACTGAAGTGTGAGTTCCAAGTGAATTAGAAAATTTGGAAGATCCTATGTGATAGTTTCTTTGTTCAAATGGACTCATTAATTAAAAGACCATAATAGTAGATTTATTTTATAAATTGTATTATGCCTGTTAATTATTTATGCATTAAATTAATTGCTATAAGCATGAAAATTAATTAAGAGTTGCATAAGAGTTTAAATATCCTCATTTAAAAATAATACTAAGTTTGAGAATGGATTCTAAAATTATAGTTAATGTTTAAATTTCTTAAGGCCTCAATTTCTAGTTTGTTGGTGAATCAATTGTTAGTGTTATATACTAAAAGTTTGGCTTTTGATGTTAGTACACTTTTACCCTTTATGAATGAGAATCATGTTTGATTAAACAAATTCTATGTTCTGTTGTTTTGCATTTAGATTGAATGGGTCGTCATCGGGCGAACCAAAGGCCATTCTATCAGTTACTTGCGAAACAATAATTTTGGTTCACAACCTAGATGGAAATGAACACCCCATTCGAACGGTTGTAGTGTCAATGATACAGTTGTTCTTGACTGATTAGTTGCACTAGTACATTTATGTATTGAACAGGATCTTAGAGGAGAAGTTCGTTTTATACTGATCGTCGTAAAGGAACAAGGACTCGGTTAATTACTGCGTTCTCTTAACCCGTAAGATATTAAATAGACATATATATGCAATATATATATTACTTTGATTCACTTAGTGAGGTTCAGTTCGCTGAATTAATATTCCTACTGTCTTGGATAATATTACTGTATGTATGATGTGTTGTTAGGATATTTGCGGTTACCATGTGCATTAGTTTGATGATGTCCCCAAAGTGAATTCATGAAGGATTATTATGCTAAACCCCGCAGGTGGATTAAATTCCAGCATAGTAATAATGTGATAAACGATCGCTGGCTTCGGTGAAATAATAATATATTAATTAATTCTTGATTGTTAGTAATCGAATTAATTAATGGACATTATATCTTAAACATGGAGAAATAATTCGGGTAATTATTATTGGAGTCTCAATTCTAATTTGGGCTAGGAAAAAAGAGTGCGATAATAGTATGTTAGTGGCCCATAATATTATTTAAGTAATTGGAAGAGTGTGCCAGACCCACAGTTAGTCCATTACAACGACGAGCCACGACCCGCCAGACGATATGCTGCAACTGCTGTGACCACTCGAGGAGCCGCGACCGACGGCCAGCCTGCGACAACCGGCGACCGTCCTGACCCACACCACCCAGTCGCGAGGACACAACCCGGCTTCCGTACGATCTGTTCGTGTGTTGTTCTCAGTCATCTCGAATCCACCAAATTCAAAAAACTTTAA